CATCATAAGGGAACTATAAAAAAGGAAACTCGGGTTAATAAACCAATAAAATGGTCACACAGCTTAAAAACTCTCATACCCTGAATGACTATTTTCTAATTACTTGGTAACTAGAGGCCAGGTGAACAAAAATTTGGGTTCCCTCAGCCCAGCCTACACCCCCTTGCAGTCCGGGACCCCTCAGGGGATATCTACCTGCCCACCCACTTAGGCCTGCTCCCTGGGGGGACTGGGCCTAAGCTAGCAGTCAGACATCCCTCTGCCAGCCCAGAAGCCCTCAGGGGATGTCCGACTGACAGCTTAGGCCCACTCCTCCGGGCCTAAGCAGCAGTTGGACATCCTTAGCGCTGCCCAGGAGGCAGGAGACTTGCTTACAGCTGTCAGCCTGGCTTGTGGCTGAGCGGAGCTCCCCATGTGGGAGCACACTGACCACCAGGGGGCAGCTCTTATGTTGAGCATCTGGCCCCTGGTGATCAGTACACGTTATAGGGACCAGTTGTTCCTTGATAGTTCTGCCCTTAGGGTCAATTTGCGTATCACCCTTTTATTATATAGGATAATATTTTAAAAAAAAAAAAAGTGTTTAGATATTTGATTCATAAAATCCAGTGTTAAAGATTTTCAACACGCCAGCTCTTTTAACGTGAGAATGAAAAGGCAAGATGCCCAAGTCCTTTGGTGCAATGTACTGGATTTATGTTTTTGAAAAACTGTGTGCTTCCTAGAAGGAGCTGACAGGCAAGCTCAGGCAACACTGAGAGCAAGCAGGGAGAAGCCAGATGCTGATGGGATCTCAGAGCTGCAGCCACTTCCTTTTGGGGAAATAAATCTTTTATTCTGCAACTAGTAGATTTAATATGAAAAGTCCCTAGCTAAGCCATTCTTGGTGATGCATAATTACCAATCCTTAATTTTTCCCCCCACCGATATGCTCAATTTGCTGTTCTCTGGATACAGATTTCAGGATTAATTCTGTTGGCCTCTTCATTAAAAAACAGTAAGTTACCTCCAGAACGTGACTTTATCAACCTTGACAGCAGCATTGCCTCCATCTATTACAATGACCAGAATGTTCTTTACATTCCCACTGCTAAGAAATTAAGTCCAGAATAACTACCTAGATATGAGACTTAACAATGACCCACATTTTTATAACATAATGTATATAACATTACCCAGATATGATTCTCTAGGAAGAGAATTCCTATTTTTTTAAGTTTATTTATTTTCTGCAAACAATTTTAGAGGCAGGGTGTTAAACTGATTAAAATTTCACAAGATTGACATTATTGCTTAAAGTGCTTGAATTTGTTACATTTTAAAAAATTAAGGTACAGATTATTTTAAATGAAAACTAATTGTTTTTTGTTTTGTTTGTTTTTAGCAACAAAGTCATATGAATGCCACACACACAGAGTAACTATTTTGGTTACACAGTAATGGAAGCCAAAAATAAATTAATGTAATACTGGAAAACAGAAACTTACTTAGGCAGAAAAGTAGGGAACCCTTCTCCCTGACCCATGCCATCTACAGAGTGAATCACAACAGTGCTGATAAAGGCCTGACCACAGGAGAGCAAAACATTTAGTGCACAATATTTTAATACACGGGACTATACAAAGTTGATCAAAATGCAATGTTTAAAGATAAAATCCATCTGTAATAAAGCTACATTCCAATATCGAAAATAAGCCCTAGGCTCCAGGGAGAGCATAGTTCATTGTTAGGCATGAACATGAAATTAGGGGCTCCCAGGAAAATAAACGCCCGAGGGCCATTTCTGTCATTTCTTTCCCCATTTCATCTGAAATCCAAAATATACTAGGCTATACAACCAGCCGGCTTCCTATTCCAGCCAGCACCCTCCTGTGCTGCTCCTTGGCTGCCTCGGACCAGGCTGCTTCGTGAAGCCTCGGAATGGAAAACGCACCAATGTGCGGGACTAATGTCAGCATTTTACCAAAATTCACCTTTTCAGCACACTGCACCACAATCTAGATGCTAAACTAGTCAGTAGTCAATAAAGCAAGTATTTCTTCTTGTGTCAAGTGTAAAACACTGTAATTCATTTTAAAACACCCAGCAATTAAAAAAAAAAAAGAAAGAAAGAAAGAAAAAGCCGAAGCCGGTTTGGCTCAGTGGTAGAGCGTCGGTCTGCGGACTGAAAGGTCCCAGGTTCGATTCCGGTCAAGGGCACGTACATTGGTTGCGGGCACATCCCTGGCAGGGGGTGTGCAAGAGGCAGCTGGTCGATGTTTCTCTCTCATCGACGTTTCTAGCTATCTCTCTCCCTTCCTCTCTGTAAAAAATCAGTAAAATATATTTTTAAAAAAAGAAAGAAAGAAAGAAAGAAAGAAAGAAAGAAAGAAAGAAAGAAAGAAAGAAAGAAAGAAAGAAAGAAAGAAAGAAAGAAAGAAAGAAAGAAAGAAATACAGCAGGCCTTCCTCCTGCCAAAAACGACATGCAAAGACCCTGGCCGCGCCAGGGGCACTGCTGGGTTTTGTGCTAACCGTGGCCTTCCAATGGTCCAGCGTTTCCCACACAATCTCTGCTCTGGGGGATGAGTGAGGGGTGAAAAAGAAAAGTGTGTGCATGCTGCTGTCTTTATAGGTAGCTGCCTAGTGTGTGTTTCATTAATCGGAGAGAAGGGAGAAATTACCAGATAGCTCTAACGTTTAAAAACCTGATGGTGTGTTGGAGGATAAGTGCATTTTCCCAATCTTTTCCTGCATCACACGACCATTTCCATATCTTTGCATTATTCCCCATTCTTGTTTTTTTTATCCCAAAAATCTATCCATGAGTACTGAATTTTAACTGAACCTTTCTATTACAAGGAATTACTTCAGTTAAGTCACTGGGAAAAAAATCTCTTTATACATTAAAAAAAAAAAAAAAAAAAAAAAAAAAACACACACACACCAAAAAGCATCCTGAATCTATGACTTTTCATTTAGATATTACTTATACAGGCTTCCAAATGAAACTTTTTTTTTTCTAATAAATTAGCTTCAAGAGTCATTTCAAAGACAATTTTAATAGTTTTCCTTATGAATCAGTTCCAAATATATTAGATATCAACCATCATTTTCTTAAACTTTGCAACCTGCAGTCAAATATATGGGTTATATATAGTACAAACAGTTCCCTACAGCAATCACCTTCAATTGGAAAGTGTCTCTCCTTAATAACAGAATAAAAACTCACCTTCCCGGTAAGTGATCACTGCATATGTTTCATGGAGGAAAAAACAGACAAAAATACTTATAAATATGAATTTGCCTTTAAACAAGGCAAGGTATACTTCTGTCACTCGTATAAAACAATAACGTGAAGATCACCCTGTTTTGTCTTCTCCAGTGAAAAGTAAAACATTTCACTTCAAGCATGAACAAATGAAGTGTCGGCATGCTTATTTAAGTTCTGAGCAATAAACAGTTCACGATATTTCAAAGATAAGAAATCCAGTTTTCATCTAGATAAAGTGCTATGCTCTTACTTGTTGCAAAATGGCCGCTAACATCTTCAATTTCAGTTTTAGCTCACATTATGCCAAACGCTTGCATGTTCGTTTGCTGATTTATTAGGTAACAAGATCATGTGTTCACAGTATATTATAGTGTATGGAGGTCAACCGACTTCCCAAAGGAAGGTCTGTGACTCATAGCATTTGTAGGAAACCAAAAACCAGCTCAACGGCAAAACACCACATCAACCCTTTTAATAAAAGGTACCAATACTCAAATGATCTAATAAATACATATATAACAAAAGTGAAAAAAAAAAAAATAACTAGGGTGAGATGAGGTTCTTCCCAAAAACTCTTGTCTTGTCAAGCATTCTAGGAGCCTGCGTCAAAGAAACGCTGCCGTTTGGCTCCTCCCTCCACCCACCCCCTGACACTTTCCTCGACCCACCTTCACGCCACTCACTCCAGTCTTCCCTCCAGGGAAGGTTCCAGGCTGTTCTGGGCTGCCGCTGCCTCAGCGAGAGGGCCGAGCTGCCTCAGCGAGGGCAGCGGCCCAGCACGCGGATGGTCCTAAGGGGCAGCGCCCTCGTTCTCCCGGGCACAGAATGACGCGGGCCTGGCTGCTCGGGGGAGCCGCGCTGGAGGCAGCCACCCGGGTCCCAGCCCTGTGACCACGGACTGCGAAAGGCCAGCGCCGGGGCTGGGAGGGCGCCCTGGAAGCTTAGCAGTGCCAGAGGAGAGAGAGAGCACACGGGACCTTACGGAAGAAAGTGGCACTGAAAACACACAGCAGGGAGTTATTTTCCTGAAATGCGGTTTGGGAGAAAGATAAGAAAAGCAACTTTTCTCTCCCCAGGAAAGCTTCCTCCTCCTGGCTTTGCCTGCTCTGACCTCCCCACCTTCTTTGTCTGGGGAATTCCAGCTTGAGGTGAGCACAGTCCCGGGCATGGCACCTCGAACAGCTCTTCACCCTGTCCCACCTGGAGGATGGTGTCAGCATCTGAGGTTACTCACTTTTAAACAACTTCACCTGCACACACGTAAAGCTATAGCTGCAGCCCTAAAGGTGAACATCTACCCAATTCTGTCCTAGGAGGCAGAGAAGATAAACATGGGTAGCAACGTTTCCAGGGACCCGTTAAAGGAATGCATTGAAAGGAGACCCTGGAACCACTTAGGAAGCTCAGCAAAGACCCCCAAACAGACTGAAGACATTCTAGGACATGTCATTCTAATCCAGTCAGAAACAACCAGTGGCATAATGTTTACCCAACCCTAAAATTAGCAACTGTTATTCATATAAATCTTACTACAATCTGATTGCAGTTAACTTCTACCTCAGACTAAAATAAGACCACGAATAGTGCTGCATGTAAAAAAAAAAACAGAGAGAGAGAGTCTAACACAGCCAGATCATTGAGACTCGGAGTAATACATTGGTGGGCTGCGGGGAGAAGCAAGTCCCCAGAGAACCCAGGTAACAGTGCTTTGAACACTCCCCCTCTTGAGTTAGTCCCAGTCCTTTACATTATTCTCGTGACTGATAGAATAAAATATATCCAGATTCCGAATTTTTTGATATATCTGACGTCAGGCCATAGAATTCTTCAATAGCTTGGGCATCAATTTTCTGCAATAAAAGAGAAATAAAACAATATATTTGTATAACATGAAGACTGGGAGAAGGACCGGAGAACTAATGAAACACACGAGGAAAATGTCAGAAACACTGTTGGCTATAAAATCACAACTGGGAACATCCAATAGCAGACAGTAATTCCACAGACTTGGCAGAGGACACGACTGCATTAACTGCACATTTCTGGGGAGAAAGCCACCCTCTAATCCATCAGCAGCCACATGTGAGCATGCTGAAGGAGCCAGGCCTTCTGTCTTTCAAATGGCAAACTGAGGCATCCAGCTTCTATGCCTCTACAACAAAATCAACATTTGGAATACTTTGGTGTAATATAAAGATTTTCCAGGTCCAACAGACTGAAAAATAAAGTTTTTAAAACCAATACAAGAAAAATTTGGTATAATGAGAGAATTTTAATAGAATTTTAAAGTGCATGATTTGGTCTTTTCATGAGGCAGAACTCATCCTAATATATAAAAACCCTGGGTCTGTCACAACTGGAGGCTTGACCTACCAGAAGTCAGTCCTGCAGTCAGTGCTAGGTTGCCATGGTGACCCAGCACTGACTGCTGAGGGGGCTGTGAATCAGGCCCAGAGAAAGGCCTGAAGAGAGAGATAGGGTCTGATATGTAGCCTGTGTGGCAGCTGTTGATCAGCACTTGCCTCTCTCTTTCTCTCCGGGCCAAGCCAGCAGCTACACCTCCATTTCTCTCCAGGCTTCCACCAGGGCTGCTGAGCAGCCCTGCTTTTCTGATCAGGTCCTGTTGATAGGCCCAGAAACACTGACTGGCACAGAAACCGACCAATCAGAACCAAATCTGGGTGAAATGTAAGGACCCAATGGCTGCCTAAAAGGCAGACCTTTTGACACTGACATAGAAACTGACCAATCAGAACCAAATTAGCCAGCAGAGGGCAGTTGGAGGTGAGATCAGGCCAGCATGGGAGAGCAGTTAGGGGCGATTAGACAGGCAGGCAGTCAGAGGCAGTTACGGGCGATCAGGAGGCAGGCAAGCAGGTGAGTGGTTAGGAGCCAGCAATCCCAGATTGCAAGAGGGATGTCTAACGGCTGGTTTAGGACAGGGATTAGGCCTAAACCAGCAGTCAGACATCCCCCAAGGGGTCCCTGATTGGAAAGGGTGCAGGCTGGGCTGAGGAAAACCCCACTCTCTGCACAAATTTCGTGCACTGGGCCACTAGTGTATAAATATGACTGATGGTGGCATAAAGCTCCCATGTCCATGGCTGATCAGTTAACAAGAACATAGTATTAAGTAGGCCATGAACACACCCCTTCTCCTTCTCCACAGAGAATGGGAAGCAGCAGGGTTTCATTTTGAGAGAAATGTATGTTGTTTTAAGGTCAGATGGTAGGAAAACAGGCCTCTTCTAAAAAACATCCACACCTAAACATTCCCCAAAATGCGACCCCCCACCCCCCCCCTCCCGCAGAACGCTCTGCATACCCACCTCTACGATGTCGTCATCAAACAAAAGCCAGAAGCCGTGACTTTTCACAATAGTGATATAATGCCCACGATTAGGACCGCTGGAAAGGCAGAAAAAGACAGTGGCCCCGTTAACATTTACTTCTTTATTAGGAGCGACTCACTAGAGAAAGCTAGCATCAGGGCAGGACGTGGCCTGACCAGGCAACGCCAGGTGCTGGTGCTGTGCTCGGCACAGAGAGTGCAGAGATGAGTAGACATCTAGCGTCTAAGGACTCACAATCCAGGGGAAAACAGACATTCAGATTCGACACATATAGCGAATAACCACTGTATGCATACCTACTATGTGCCAGATCCTATTGTGGCTGTCGGGGGGAAAACGCAGTGAATGAAACCAAGTCCCACTTTTGGGGGGACCGGGGCTGAATGGGGAATAAACAAACTAGAATGTAGATGCCTCTGCAGTGGTGGTAAAGGCCGTGAGGAATAAAGCCGATGGGTGGCATAGTGAGTGGAGAGGGGCGGCATTCTCTGATAGAAAGGAAGGGAAGGGCCCTGATAATATGAGATGTGAGCAGAAGAAATTTCCCTGAAGGAAAGGCCTGAGGGACACGCCATGGACTATTACATAGAAGCGTGGGGAATAGGGAGTAGCAAGTGCAAAGGTGTTGGGGGACACGGAAGAGCAGGGAGGCCAGAGCCGAGAGAGGCAGGGGCAGCCAGAGCCGGAGGGGGAGGGCTTTCCTGGCTAAGATTCTGGACTTTGCTGTGAGTGAGCCAGGAAGGTCCTGGGAAATTCTGAGGAGCTGATTTAAGTTTCAGAAAGATGTTACTAAACCACAATGTATAATACCAAGCATGAAAACAAAAAGATATATTACACAACAAGGAAACAAGTACAAAGAACTATTAAACAGCTATCATTCTGTAGTTAGATTTGCACAAATGAGATTGTAATCCTAAATTTAGAGTTTTGTTTTGTGCAGTGCACCACTAGAGCTGAAAAGCTATTATTTCCCTGTGGTTCCTTTCTTCAAATACAAGATGATCCACCCGAACTGTTGCTGCCTCTCTCCAACCTCTGCCGCCTCCCTGAGCTTCAGCCTGCTGCTCTCCTCAGCTTCCACCCATCGCCCTTCACACGCCGGCCTTCCGCCCGCTGCAGCTGCCCGTAACGGTCCTCCCCTCCTGTTTGCACTCTTAGCCTATGTTATCCTGGGGTCTCAGCTAAAAGGTCACCTGGGCAGATAAATCTCTGCCATCATCTCCCCTCACTCTCACCGCACGGTTGGTTCATTCCTCATATAATAGTATGAATCAAAACCATAAAGTGTTCTGCCGTGGTCCGTTCGTTTTGGGCGGTGGCAGGCTGCTGTGTTTCCTTGTTAGCTACCTTTCCCACTAGATCCTTGGCTTCCTGAGGGCAGGGCCCGTGTGTCTTGCTCACTGCTGTTCCTTCAGATCCTGCCTGGAGACCCAGGAAACAAGGATTCAAAAGTGCTTGCAGCAGATATCGGTGAGTGAGGCTGTAAACCCATTGCCACCGCGAGCCAGGAGGCCCTGGCACAGAGAAGGCTCAGCTCCCCAACCTCAGAGCTCCTGGTGCTCTGCGGGTCAGAATGTGCTCTCGTGGGAGAATGTAAAGAATCCCAGTGAGCAGCATGCGTGACTCAGCACCACTCGCCCTTGCTGCCAGGGCTGCTCTGACCTCCTGCACCCCTCACAGAGGCCGACGGTCCCGAGCCCAGTCTCCCGCTCGTCCTGTCTCCTCAATGCTCTCTGCTGTGCCCTCCCAGGATCAGAGCTGGAACTCACAGAGACCCAGACTGAAACACCCAGGCGTACCCTACAGATCTGAGTGCTTCCGTTTCCCCATCACACCGCCCGCCTCGGCCACAATGCCCTCCAGGTACCAGGCTCTGCATCCCCAAACCTCCACTTCCCAACCCCAGCCGGGGGCCCACCCAGTGTTCCTGGCTGGCTTCCAGATCACTGGGCCCTGGGTTCTTCAAAGGAGCCTGTTAGAACTATTCCTCAGGGAAAACACAAAGCCGGCTGGTAACCGCCTGGTAAATATAACCAAGAACAGAAAATACCCAGTGACTTGAAGTTGTTTAATGTGTGCAGGACAAAACGGTGCTTCAGATGTGACATTACAGCTCGGGATACCATCCACCCAACACCCAACTCATCAATCCACTACTTCTCCTGGAGCTGCGCACCTCCTGTGCACGCCCCGGGCAGATGCAGAGGAAAGGATACCTGCACTGCAGCTTGTCACCATCTAGAACCCAAATCTAGAACCCACAAGGTAGGAAAAGCCGTGCCCACCCGGGGAGAGGGCACACACCGACCGTGAGTAAAGGAAAAAAAGAGGTGAAGTCTCCATGCTCAGACATGCTCAGACATCTCCAAAATATGAAAAATATTTAATTATCAAAAATATTTAATCAAAGGACATTCAGCAAAACACTGCTCTTCTGTATCTAAGGGCCGCCTCTCTCTTCTTCCTGATTATGTGCTTTTTAAAAAAAACAAAAAACTTTGTTATGTGTTTTTTTAAATAATTTATAATTTTTTTTGAGGTAGAGGACAGGAGAATGAGAGAGAGAGTAAGAGTGAGAGAGAGAGAGAGAGAGAGAGAGGGAGAAACATCAATGTGAAAGTGCAACCCTGCTGGGCTGATCCTGCACGCCTCTTCCTGGGGATTGAGCCAGCAACCTCCTGGTTTACAAGTGAAAGCCTAACCCAACTAAGTCACACCAGCCAGGGCCTGATTATGTACTTCTCATGGAATGTTGGGCAAAGACTGAGAAATACATAAATAATATTTTTAAGAGTACATTTTCAATCATTCAAGAAGCCAGAACACTAAACTCTGACCTACTGCTTCCAGTCTTTATTCATACATCTTAAAACACTTTCGAAATCCCATAACCTGTAACCTGGCTTTTAAATATTAAAATCCTAGCATAAGCATTTATGCATTCATGTTATTTCAAACTCTTCCCAAGCACCATGTAAAACCAAAGGAGATTTATTATTTCCCTTGTGATAAAACATTTAGATCATCTTATCATAATGCAATTTATTTTACTTTATGTGTGTATGCAGACACGTTTGTATTTGTTTTAGCTTGGAAGAGATTCCACGAACAGCTCCATTATCACTGAGACTCACAGCCCAGGAAAGGCCCAGCTGGAGCTGCTTCGGCACAGGGACCACCCACACTTCCCACGCGCCCCCGCGGCCCGCCGCCGGCCGTACCTGCCACAGTGCACCACCACGGCCACCAGGTCGTACATGCGGTCCAGGTTCACGGCGTCGCTGGAGGTGTTGAAGAGCCGCAGCTCCAGCGGGAAGACCACGCGGTAGGAGAGCTTGGTGTACCTGTGCAGCTGCTCCATGTACTTGAACCGCTTCAGGTGCAGGGCCAAGATCATGGGCAGCTTCTTCACTCTCATCCTACGGAACCGAGAAACAGGGCATCAGTGTAGCCGACCCGTTCGGGCAACAGAATCCGCTGCTGCCTGCACAGACGGAGAGCAGCTCTGACCAACTGCAAACGACCAACCACTCATAAAGTCTGCTCGCTCGTGCAGAGCTGACTGATCCCACATCCTCAGCTAGCTGAGCACAGAGAAAAGCACAGCCTGGGTCTCTGTTTGGTCAGAGGAGACATTACAGAACATCTGTGCCAATAAAAACAGGGAATGCGATCGCTGTGACTGCCCTCGCCTGCCAGGGAGGAAAGCACTCGGGCAATCCTCCAGTCCCTTCCTGAGATCCGGGCAGGAGGGTGACAGTGTCCCTTCCTGAGATCCGGGCAGGAGGTGACGGCTCCGGGGCAAGGACAAGCAAGGGGGTGTGGTCTGGACTTCCAGGTTCCGAGGACCAGCGGGGATGTGCCGACACGGCGGGCCGCTGGCATCAGGAAACCAAACGTGCCAAACTCACTCCCTCTCCCTTTGTGCTCTTGGGCACGTCACTTCCCTTCTCTGGCTCTGTTTCCTCGTTCAGGGGTTGGCTCAGGGCTCCATTTCCCAAACTGACCTCCTCAGCGCCCTGGGGACACTAACAGGGTGGGGTTTCTGCGGTGTTTGGACAACGCCACTGTTTGAAGCTCCTCCCTGCACCTTAGCCAGTGGTTTTGAGAAAATCACACTCAAGGAACGGTTTCCTGTTGTTTGATGCACCATTCCCCAAACCTACATAAACACAGAAAGCTTTTTCACCCGAGGGCCATTAATATTCCTTGGCAGAAAGTCACAAAGACAACAGCCTCAGTAGTGAGCACTGCTGGGAGGGAGAGTCCTCCCGGCACCTTCCAGGGCCCCCTCTACGAATGTCCTGAATTCGTGTACATCCTGCTCGGCTTGTGTACACAGTGATGCATATTCTTTGAAAGGGACAAATTTTAAGAGAATACTATTTAGGAATGTATTAAGGTAAAACCCTGTTCATAAAAAATTAAGCAAAATAACATCGGCAGAAACATATGAATTATGGGGAACCCCCTGTTTTATAGAAGCACATGACATTTTAATGTGTGAGACCTCTGGAAATCAAACCTGGGCTGGCCTAGGCTGACTTAGAGCATACAGATGGGAGCAGAGGCGAGCTTCCCTGACCACTAAGGAGAGCGAGGTACCTACCGCCCACACTCCGCCTGCCATGGTGACTAACCTTCTTTCTGTGAGTTTAGATCAGCAGGGAAAGATGCGAAGGGCCGGGAGGCTGGGCAGAGGAATTATTTCATCCTCGGCTGCAGGCCCCGGAGGGTTTGGATGGCGGTAACGAGCATCTATGAGTTACCGAGAACATTCCACAACCAGGGGCCGGGTAAGTTTAACTCACAGAGAGGCTTTACAAGATAATTAAATTGTCAAGTTTCTTGGCTTCTGGGGGGAAAATATCATTGAAGCACTGGTTTTCTCACATGGCCCAAGAGCTGTGACTGGTGACTGGTGGTGGGAAAGGGATGGGCAAACTGGGTCCTACATCAATTCAGAATGTGACAACTCTCTTAGCAGCTACCATGCAATTGATGTGCTACTGATTTCCTCATCATTCCTTATTAAATGATTAATTTTTTTGACCTCATATCTTCTAAATAAGAAGCTCTGCCCTCGCTGGCTGGCTCAGTTGGTTGGAGCGTCATCTGTACACCAAGAGTTGTGGTTTCAATTCCTGGTCAGCGCACGTACTTAGGTTGCAGGTTCGATCCCTAGTCAGGGCATGTACAGGAGGCAGGATGAATGTTTCTCTCTCTCTCACAGATATTTCTACCTCTCTCTCCCTCCCTCCCCTCCACTCTCTCTGAAATCAATAAACATATCCTCGGGTGAGAATTAAAATAAAAAGAAGTTCCAATGTTTGGGCAATACTAACCATGTTACTGGGTAACAACTATATGTCATGTGCTCTACTGGGTCCTTTTAATAGTTTGTCTTTAACCCCAAGACAACAGTGACTGTATCTGATGACCATTTATTAGCCAGGGCGCATAGGAACACTCAATCAATATTTGTGGAAGCAACGCATGAAAGACCAATGAGCAAACAATCACACGAATGCACAACTCTCCAAGGCAGGCAATCTTACCCTACTTTTACCCGGGACAAAGGTAAATGACTTCTCCAAAGCTCCTTGGCTGTAAGCCCATGGAACTGGGACTCAAAATCAGATCTGGCAGGCTTCCCAGGCTCGCTCCCCCTCCAGACACAAAGCCACCCTCTTGATCTAAATCCTTTACGCACCTTTTCTGGGCCTCCTGTTTGCTGCAGCACGTTTCACAATAATATTTCTGTTCACTACACAGAGTTTCTGTGTTGCTGAAGTCTCTGCAGAGAAAAATATTTACAGCTTGAGAAGAAGACCAAACTGTGCTTGGTGTGCCGCATTTTAAACCCTCTGTCACCCACAGGGTGATCTGTGAAAGTAGGGAGTGAAGTGATGAGAAAAGACCCTTCTTACAAGTATGATGCCATTAGTGTGTGTCTACTGGGCTGGACTGTGATTCCACCAGGAGAGATTTTCAACTACAGCTTTATTTAATTGGATACAGACAGATGTTTCCAACCAATTCGGGGGGGAAAGTGTTTAACAAAGAATATCTGTAAATTGGAGATATAAATTATAATATAAAAATACTAACTATAGCAAAGTTGAGTCCAAAAACATCAATCCCGTAAAATTACCGGGATTATTGTACTGTAATGATAAACGGCACATCTCAGGTGGTCTGTATTTCCTAAGAGCTTGAAAATGAAGACAAGGACATGTAAACCATATTCAACTGCCCTTATATTTTTAATCAAAATATAAATAAAAATATATTTTTAATTAAACTGCTATTATTCACATGTGAAAGACTCAACCACTTAAACAAGAAAATCCAAATGATCAGCAGATGACGGCTTCCTACCAACCCCTGCTCCTCGTCTCCCACCCCCTGGATGACAGGAACGTTAGCCTCCCTCCCTTTGAGAACAAATGCCATTGTGGTGTTATGTCACTATTTGACTTATAGCCTACTGATAGATTCATTTTTAAATGTCATGGCTTTTCATTCTCTCTGGTCCCTGAGATTCTACTTAACATTCCTGTGGTACTACTTCAAAGGCGGAAAGAACATCCAGAATATAATAACACCCCACAGTCTTAAAAAGGTCCGTGACATTTCCTTATGCACGGGGAGTGTTCCCGAACCAGAACGCTCACGTTTTACTAAATTGAAAATGTTAGCTGAGCCAGTGTGGCTCAGTGGTTGAACATTGACCTATGAACAAGGAGGTAACAGTTCAATTCCCATTCGGGGCACATGCCCGGGTTGCAGGGGGCGTGCAAGGCAACAGATCGATGATCCTCATCATTGATGATTCTATCTCTTACTCCCTCGCCTATCCTGTCTGAAATCTGTAAAAATATATATTTGTAGAATCAAAAATGCTATAATTCACATGTGAAAGACTCAACAATTAAACAAAGCTTATCAAGAGAAAACATGGATTGTTCATTAAATTCCCAAATTTTTAACAACAGTACTTGGGACAGAGATTCACAGAGTCCCTGCACTCACACAGCTCAGCCTAGAGAGAGATGCACAGTGAGTCACAAACATTTAGTGCTCAGTGCAGGTCCATCAATCACTTCACACGGCTGATTCCCCTAAAACTCGCCAACAGCTTCTCAGTGCAGCTGTAAATAAAATCCAAGCTCCCTGCCATGGGGCAGGCCAGCCGTCTTCAGATCTGACTGCTTTTCTGACCTCATCTCCCACCTTGCCCATGCCCTTCACACTCTGCTCCAGCCATACGGGCCAGCCTTCTCCTGTAGCTCAAGTTCAATGCTCTCCCTGCCTCCGGGCACTTGCAGGTGCTCCTTTCCAGATGCTTCCATGCTGGCTCCACCCAATCGGAGCTCAGTGTAAATGTCACCTCTTGCCAGGAGACTTCCCTGTCCACTTGCTCCAAACCCACCCCTCCCAGCCCTAACGCACTGCTGTCTGGTTTTCTTTGGAGCACTCAGTGCTCTCTGAAACCATCCTCTCATTCATTAGTAAGTGTCTCCCCTTTTTGTGGGCACTGATCCCGTCTGTCTCGCTGTGATAGCCTAGCACGGAGAACAGGCCCAATGCTCATGGCACTCCATAATGCAGCCCACTGAACAAATGCAGAGGAGTGTGCACAGAGTCCAGGGAAAGCACAGGAGAAGGAGACATGAACTTGAACTAGGGTAATTCAGGACATTTCCCCGGGGGCGATGCCCGAGTCGGGCTGTCGGAGGGAAAAAGTGCTGGGGGGATAGGAGTCAAGCACTGCAGACAGAGGGAACGCCAACAGAAGCGGGGAGGCATGGCGAGCATGCTGCTTAGAAGCTGGCGTGGACCCTGCGGCTCTGGAGCCCCACTAACCAGTCTCAGCAAGAAGACATAATCAGACAGTGCTTTCTACAAGTACCACGCTGGCAGCACCACGGAGGAAGAACCGGAGGGGGTCAAAGGTAAGGAAACAATTTAGAAGGCAATTACACTCCATCCCGGATTTCAAGTGCTTGGTGGATAATACAGTCTCAAATGCAGCTGAATGAATAGAGGCGACTCTTTAGAGAAAGAACGGGTGGGAAAACAGTTCTTGGCCTGCACAGGCCTACAGGGTGGAGGAGGTGGGGCTGGGAGAGGGAGAGGTGTGAATGGCTGGCAGTGGAGATGCACACCCTGGATAAATCTACCACAGAAAAACCTCTGTATCCAGCTCAAGAACAGAAAAACCAAGGCAAGCAGAACAATGGACAGGGATTTCTACTTACTGTATTTCTCAAAGGCACTTTCCTGAAGTATTTTAGACCCAGATAGTAGAAATACAGCAGAAGTTACTACCTAGTTTAAAGGCCCACTTTACAAATAGCCACCAGCCTACCCGGCCCAAACTGGCCGGAAGCTTGTTGCCACAAAGACAGGGTAATGCTTTTAGGGGGTCTGTGAGTTGAGAAGTGGGAAGTGAGGCGAGGTGAGGAAAGGGGGTGAACAGCAAGAAACCCTGAGGCAGACCAGGCCTGCCAGCTGCTATTGTATAACTGCTGGAACAAAAGCAGGCAACAGAGGTGAGGAAACTGTGCAACAAGGAAGTCAGAGGGGAAGGAAAGAGCAGATCTTTTCCAAGAGCAGATTAATTACTAAGCAGAGATGAGGTTAGAAAAAAAGCACAAAACTCTTTGTATTTCTTTCAAAAGAGTCATAGTGACAATAAAACATTATTTAAATATATACTTTGAGCCAAAACCAGTTTGGCTCAGTGGATAGAGCGTCGTTCTGTGGACTGAAAGGACCTGGGTTCGATTCCAGTCAGGGACATATACATTGGTTGCGGGCACATCCCTGCTAGGGGGTGAGCAGGAGGCAGCTGGTCGATGTTTCTCCCTCATCAATGTTTCTAGCTCTTTGTCTCTCTACTTTCCTCTCTGTAAAAAATCAATAAATGTATTTTAAAATATATACACACACACACACACACACACACACACACACACATATACACACACATATATATATATGTGTGTATATATATATACATACACACACACACACACACACTTTGGGGCCCGGCCAGTGTGGCCCAGTGGTTGAGCATCGACCTACAAACCAGGAGGTCACAGTTTGATTCCTGGCCAGGGCACATGCCCAGGTTGCAAGCTCGATTCCCCAGTAGAGGAAGGCAAGAGGCAGACAATCAATGCTTCTCTCTCATCACTGATGTTTCTCCCTCCCTCTCTGAAGTCAATAAAAATATATTTATACATACACACACTCACACACAATTTAGGAACAAATCTAATATAAAACGCACATCTTTGTAAATAAAAAAAAACTATATAATCTATGGAAAGGTATACAGAAAAAGAAGAGGAAAAGAGGAGAAAGACTATGTTCATGGATGGGAATGTTATATAGTGTAAAGATGGCTACCATGTCCAAGGTAATGTCTACATTTGATACATTTTTTCATTAAAATCTTAACTTTCCCACTCAACACAATAGCTCAAAAATTGGTTTTTTTAAAAATTCTCAAGCAATGCTTCCAGATAGCGCTCATGGCATGGTGCACACAGAACATAATACTACACAGCAAGAAGCTGTGGTAACCTGATGCGGCTGCTCCTGTGGCTCTGCTCGGCCTCTAAGGAGTGGAGGGCATGACACACACCTGCGACACATTTACCACGGCACACCAACTGGAAAGCTTTGTTCTGGAACCTACAGCAGTGGTTCTCCTGGCTATTCCTTAGAATCACCTGGGGAACTTATAAACAATCTCGATCTCCATTTCAGCCCTCTCACTTGGCCCCCATTAATTACATCAGAATCTCTCCTGGTAGAACCCAGGCATTGTTCTTAAAGCAACCCAGGTGGCTCCAACGTACTGCTCTGCAAACATTCATATACGTTTGAATCTCTTGGAGATTTTGTCCAAATGCAGGTTCTGATTCATTCAGTCTCTTGGGGGAGACCTGAGATGCTGTGGTTTTAATGAGACGTCAGGTGACAATAATGGTACTAGTCCACGAACCCATTTGAGGGGCAAAAATCTAGAGCAGTGGTTCTTAAACTTCGGTGGTATCAGAATCACCAGGAAATTAATTAAAAATAGAGGTCTAGGCTCGCCAAAGTTGAATATGGCCTGGGCCTCAATTTTTACCAACCTTCCCAGGTGAATCTGACACAACGAAGTTCGAAAACCACTGACTAGAACTTTTAAAAAAGATTAAAGCCGAAACTGGTTTGGCTCAGTGGGTAGAGCATCGGTCTGCAGACTGGGGGGTCCCAGGTTCGATTCTGGTCAAAGGCATGTGCATTGGTTGTGGGCACATCCCCGGTGGGGGTGTGCAGGAGGCAGCTGGTCAATGTTTCTAACTCTCGATCCCTCTCCTTTCCTCTCTGTAAAAAATCAATAAAATATATATTTTTAAAAAGATTAAAAATAGAAAGCTATGAGAAAAAGTTGTGTGTCAGATATTAGAAAACACCATATAACAACAATCAAAACTGAAACTCAGGACAGTGAAACTGAGAGAGATAAGTGTGTGGCTGGCAAAGGAAGTGTGGGGGGCCTATATGAACTTAGTACATGAAAGAAATTTCTCAAAATAAGTAGAAAAGGAATTTTAAAAATTAAGATTAACTTTTAAAATAGGGCTTTTGTAGTGTTAAAAGGCTCCCTTCCTTCTGGCTGATCTCCCTGGAGAAGGGGAATTTAAATGAGAGGAAGACGGAGAGAGAGGAAGGTAATCTCAGAACCGGGAGCACTGAGGACAAAGGTACGTTTCTGTGAAGAAGGAGCCACAGGGAGGGACTAAGGCACAGAAAGAGAAAAGGCCACGTAAGGGTAACTGAAATGAACTTCACGCACTTTAAGTTTTTGCCTGAGGCCATCCCTTAACTTTTCAAAAGGATAAAAAATTTCCTTGGTATCCTCCTAGGGTAAAGAGGGCTCACCTCACCTAAGACACAACTGAGGTTTGAAATATCCGAATTATAGCTCAGCGACAATATGGATCTGTATTCTGAACTTAACTCCATTTTTTTAAAATATATTTTATTGATTTTGTACAGAGAGGAAGGGAGAGAGATGGAGAGCTAGAAACATCAATGAGAGAGAGTCATCGATCAGCCGCCTCTTGCACACCCCCTACTGGGGATCTGCCCGCAGCCAAGGTACATGCCCTTGACCGGAATCGAACCTGAGACCCTTTAGTCCCCAAGCCGACGCTCTATTCATTGAGACAAACCAGTCCCGGCTTAACTCCATTTTATATCAGCATTTCTCTTGGGCAAAAGTTCACTGAACACACATTGTAACTGATCACCGAAAACTATTCTGGAAGGAGGTGGCAAAAATATTTAAATATCTCAATTTTAGCTTTTTTTTTTTACTTTTTCATCATCAAAATGAAAGATATAAATATCACATCAGAAGAGAAATGAAAACATGATGTTAAAGGGGGAAAAACTTCAGGATTCTAATTTTAAAAACAAGTCTTCAAGAATGCAAACCAGCCAAAAATGGTTTGGCTCAGTGGATAGATAGAGAGTCGCCTTCGAACTGAAGGGTCCCGGGTTCGATTCTGGTCAAGGGCATGTACCGTGGTTACGGGAACATCCCCAGTGGGGGGTGTGCAGGAGGCAGCTGATCGATGTTTCTCTCTATCCCTCTTTCTTCCTCTCTGTGAAAAAAATCAATAAAATATATTTTTTAAAAATGCAAACCAAATGAAACCATCTAAAGGGCCAAAAGTAGGTCAAAATCATTCCTCATCTTTTGTCTCAGATGGAAAAAGCTGGCCTTCCTCCTGCACATCCATCACAGAGCTCTCGGTGATGAATGACAACACCTGGCAGGTGTTGGGAGGTGAGGTCTTAGGTGTAGATGAGGGCAGGTATAGCTAAGTCAGTCAAGGTCTAGTTTAAGAAGGATGTACAATGAGGATGGGCAGGCATTTCAGGAATATCAGCCTGCACAGTCCCATCAAATGAGAATCTCATGTTGGATGAAAGGTTTTCCCAGGCTATTTTGTACACACCCATCCCAGCTTTATCATTTCCAAATGCCTCTAGCCTGCCCTCCTCGGGTATGCATGGCCAATATTCTGTATACTTTTCTCCAGGGAAAAAATAAACACATAAATCTGGATTCCCAAAGGTTAAGTTTTCTTTTAAGATTTTTATTGATTTCAAAGAGAGAGAGAGGGAGGGGGGGGAAGAGAGGGAGAGGGAGGGAGGGAGGGAGGGAGGGAGGGAGGGAGGGAGGGAGGGAGAGAGTGAGAGAGAGAGAGGGAGAGAGGGAGGAACATCAATGGTGAGAATCATTGATTAGCTGCCTCCTGCACACCCCCTACTGAGGGGTGGGGGGCTGAGGGGTGGGGGGCTGGGGAGCCCGCAACCCAGGAATGCGCTTTTGGTCCGAATCAAACCTGGGACCGTTTAGTCCACAGGCCAATGCTCTATCCACTGAGCCAAACTGGCTAGGGCCAAAGGTTGAAATTTTAACTAACCATTGGCCGTTTACCTGGTTGGCCTCAAAGCTGAGGCCACTGCCGTCTGCCTTTTGGAACAGCCCAGATCATGCTAAGAAGGGGAGCAGTCAACCCCCCTAACTCCCCTTCTCAAAGAAGGGGCATGGACAGTACCCTTCCTCCCATCCCCTCATCTGTGACTAATGTTAGCACAACCTCCATTGCTTCTATATTCCTGAGATCATAAAACCTTGGGGAAATAAAAAATGGCTTATTTTCACAGGAAGAGTAAGAACCCATGTCATAAATGGAACCATTCGGAAGAAAAAGAGGCCATCCTTCTCTTTGCAAAGAGGTAAACATTTCCTAGATCCCAGACCTAAGGCATTTGGAGACAAGCTGACATGCCAAACCAACAGGAAGCGCTCAGTTGTGGGGGGTGAGGGGGCGAGGCATGCAGCGGCATCAGGCTCCTGGGAGATGGGAGAGCAACCCCCCTCCCCAGCTCACACAATACCTATCCTCCAGACGAACCAAGCTCTTCCACATCAGATGACTTTCTTACAGTCAACCGCCACAGCAGCCCCTTTAATCCGCATCTTCTAAAATATTCTAAGTCACCCACATCCTGAAAGAACAAGCCCACCACCCAATTCCTACTGCCGTGTGACACCTTAAAGCGCTCTGAGCTGCAGCACCTGAGCAATGACCACACAGTCCACACGGCTCCCTCACTCCTCAGACCTGTTTCATGTCCTTCAAAGCACCGACCACCGTCTTTAGATCCCGCCGCATGTAAGTGCTGCGAGAGGCATATCTGGTGCTCATTCCTCTATTTCCAGTGTCCTGGCTCACTGTGAGCACTCACCACCTCTTGTTGGAAAGAGAGTGAGGAGGGGGAAAGGAAGCTATGTCTACCGCAACTCAGAGCACAGTTTAAGTGTGCAATCCCGATGGTGATCTTGCACATGTACTGTTCTTACACTCCGGCTCCTTACCTCCACTCAACCCTAATGAGGAGCCATTTCCCCCATGAATGATCTCCATACAATGCTGGAAGCTGGAGGAAAAGGCAATTTCCACATTGGTTCTCACCTCGTAAGTGCATGGTTTTTAAAATAAGAGAATAGATTAGCTTTGAAAAATAAAAGGGGGAGGGGGGGGAGGAGGGAGGGAGGGAGGGAGGAAAGCCCTTTAAAATATATCTATATTAAAGATTAAAGGCTTAATGACTAACAGCTTCCACTTGACCCTCTCTCTTCTCAGTAGGCCTCTTCTCCAGATCACATACACTTGTTTTTAATCTCTCTTGGAAAAGAAGAAATAGAAAATAGTATTGTATGGGTTTAACAGAAAGGAAGATTATTTCCTAAAGAAATACAGACTGTTTCCCCCACTAATTCACTAGCCTGATCAAAAGCTCAGACCACACTCAGAATTCATGAGGTTACCTCAGGCAGTGGGTAATAGATGTATTCTGCTCCACATCGACAGAAAGATCAAGAAAATCTTCATCTTTGCTACTAACCTGAAGCAAAAAGAAAAAAAAGAAAAAGAAAAAAAATGTCTTAGGCACAAAATACACAGCGGTCATAGTATCTTGAACACTTAGTGGTAACTGAAAACCTGCAGTAAAAGTGGTGTGTGGCTTTGTATATTCACTGACAAGCACGTACCTTGAAACCCCAATCTGCAGAAAATCCCACATTTTCAATTTAATCATACCTCTATCCCAGCTTTGACTCAGAAGTTTTTATTTTTTAATGTTTTTATTGAGAGAGAGGGAGAGAGAGAGAAACATAGATGACAGAGAAACATCAATTGGCTGCCTCCTACACACCATCTACTGGGGATGGAGACCACAACACAGGCACGTGCCCTGACGGGGATGAAACCAGCAACCTCTGGCTGTGTAGGACAACACTCAATCCACTGAGCCACACGGGCTGGCTAGAATTCTTAGGTAATGAAATTACCTACATCTACCAAATTTCTCTTCCTCTCCATTCATTTCCTCCACTGTTCCAAAGTAGGCAGTATCAGACAGGTGGCCATGTAGCTCAGACTGGCAGAAAGATAAAAACGAAAATGGAAAAAGGACGAGAGACGTAGATCTACTACTCGGGGGTCAGCCCTTCGTTAAGTTGTCTGCACTTCCTGCCAATCCCTTCTTCCCGTCTGGTCATTCCAGCCGCATGAGGGGCCACGGAGCCTAACGGGCGAGAGGCTGGAGAGTCACACCAGCTCCAGGTGCAGCTGTCCTCTGATGCAGGACGTGGCCAGCATTTGCAGAGCCTGCGCTGCCGTGACAACAACTGGACCCGGAGCTGGCCTGGAGCCGGGCCTCGCACGGCCTGCCCGCACTCTGGCCGGCTCTCAGGAGGGCTTGGCTCATTGGCCCGGGCTAGTTCTCAGCCCTCCACATCCAATTCTGGGCCTACTTACTGAAGCTCACGGGGGAAGTGTGTATATATTCCGGCAGTTCACCAGCATTAAACCACCTTAGAGTGGGAGGGACCAATTATTCCTGCAACAGCCTTGAGGTGCTCAGTCAAGTGGCAACAAAATGAAAATACTCCTTTACGTGTGACCATTACCTTGTGACCCAATACCCCACTGCTAGGACATCACCTAAAGAATTATTCAGAGATCTGAATACGTCTTTTATACTTGTGTAAGTCTACAGAAGACGGTGTGTTTAGACAGACGGCCCAGCGCCATGCCCTATCTCTGCCCCTTATTAAAGTGGAGAACTTGTGGCCAGGTGCTTAGCCTCTCTGTACCTCAGCTCCTGATCTGTAAAGTGGGGACAGTAAGAGCATCTATTTCATAAGGCTGTTCTAAAGATGACATAAATAATACATGGTAAGTGCTTTAAGAAGTAAACATTCAACAAGTCATGAGAAGTAGAAAATGTTAAAAGGCCTAAAATGGTCAAGAAGTTGGAAACAGTTTACATACATTATGGGTATCATCACAGTAAGTGAAAAAGCTAGCTATCCAATTATGTGAATTAATTCCAATTTTATATTTAAAAGGCCTAAATCTAGTGGTGGACAAAAGTAGGTTTATAATTTTGAATACAAAAAACACAGGGTTAATTCTAATATTATTTGTTAATTACTGTATTATTTTCCATATGAACAATTGTAAACCTACTTTCACCCACCCCTGTATATTTACACACACACACACACACACACACACGTCTCTATCATCCTAATTTAATTTTTATGGCACTTATTACTGCCATGGTAGAATGCACGAAAGGCCCCAGATCCTCACTATTGCCTATACTAGCCTCTTTGCCACATGACTTTACAGATCTCTCATCAAGGGGTATGTTACCCAACCCATAATTCTGCGTTCAGCCATGTGACATGCTTTGGCCAGTGGAATGTTAGAAGACATGGTACAGCAGGGGCTTGAATAAGCACTTGTGAAACTGCTCTCTAACCCTCATCACCACGAGGGCCGGCCCACTGTGCCCAGGAGACGAGACCCAGGAAGCAGAGCTGTTCTCACATGGGTGCCCAGCCAAGCTCAGCCTCGAGTCAAGCCCCAAGCTGGCCTGCAGACACACGGGTGAGCCAGATGAAATACACACACACAAGTTCAGCCAAGTCCACAGCTGCATGAATTATAATAATAAATCATAGTTGATTTAGGTCAGACTTTTAGGGTGGTTCATAGCAAAGCAACAGATAGCCAGTACAACTACAGCAGGTCCTTGAATAATGTGGTTTTATTAAAGGTCATTTTGTTATGACACTGATAAGATGCCATAGGAACTTAACTCTTATTTATATCCATTAGCCAATGGTAAAATTGGTTTCATTATACACTAGAGGCCCAATGCAGGGATTCGTGCACTGGTGGGGTCCCTGGCCTGAAGGAATTGGGCCGAAACCGGCCGGGTGCACGGATTCATCCAGGCCCTAACAGCCAGACCCCAGCAACATATCAGCCTTTTATTATACAGGATGTCCAACAACTGCAAAATATACATTCTTTTCAACTCAGCAAGGGAAACAGCCTTCCAGGGGTCTTCAGGCAATGCTGGGAGACGTTGTTGTTGTCTCATCTTGGGGGATGCTACTGGCCTTCAGCAGGTAGAAGCCAGAGACGCTGCTAAACAACCTATAATGCACAGGGCAGCACCTTAAAACAAAGAATCATCTCATCTTAAATGTTAAGTTCCAAGGTTGAGAGAACCTGTTTTCAAGTACATTTAAGAAGTCAGACCATGTGTTAGGATTTGAAATATGTCAAAATAAAATTAGAAAGACTGAAACCATACTGAAGATATTCCCTAACCAAAATGGAATTAAATTCTAAAACAATAATATTAAACTATCTAGAAAAATCCCAAATGTTTAGAAATTAAACAGCATACTGCTAGGTAATATATGAATCAAAGAAAAAAATCACAAGAGAAAATTAGAAAATATTTTGAACTAATGACAACACAAAAAGTTGTGGGATGTAGCTAAAGCAGCGCTTAGAGGAAAGTTTATAGTTTTAAAATGCATTTTTTAATAAATAGTAGAGCAGGGCCCATCTTTTCTATATGGTCTAATTACTATAGCCCTAATTCCTAAAATAATTTTCAGCATTTAGTAGGTACACAATAAATATTTACTAAATGAATGAATAAATAACAAAAGAATGAACAAGTAAAAATGTATCTAAATTCCAACAGACATCTGGGTGACAGAATTATGAATAATTTTCTTTTTTATACATTCTGTTTTCTTTCTTTTTCTTTTAATCCTCACCTGAGGATATTGTTTTTTTATTGATTCTAGATAGTAAAGGAGAGAGAGAGACATCAATTTGCTGCCTCCTGTACACACTCCAACCAGGGATCAAACCCACAACCTAGGTATGTGCCCTGAATGGGAATCGAACCAGTAACCTTTTTGGTATACAGCATGATGCTCCACCAACTGACCAACCCGGGCAGGCTATATTCTGTTTTCTTAAAATAACCCACAGGTATTATTTTTTTTTAATTAACTTTTTCTAGAACCAAATGGCCCTTCTCGTGGGGGTTGGGAGCAGGAGGGAGGGAGAGGTTTATAGCCAACTGAAATCATACATAATTTAGATAGCTAGGATCAGGTTTAACTAAAAATATTACAGTTGGAAGGGAGCAAAAACAAAGAAACATTTGCTCCTTTTAGGCAGAAATCTTTTTTTTTCTACTCAGTTGTTTTACTGTGTTTCCCCGAAAATAAGACATCCTCCGAAAATAAGACCTAGCGCATGGAAATATAAGACATCCCCTGGAAATAAGACCTAGTGCAACTTTGGGAGAAAAATTAATATAAGACACTGTCTTATTTTTGGGGAAACAGGGTAGGAGCTGGGGGGGGGGGGGAGGTCGGGTCTAAAAATCTAATTAACTAACTGGGTAAAGTTACTGTTAACTTTCTCCATTCCCAGTGCAAACTGCTCCCAGGATTAAGACTGTGAGAAAGCTGCCGGAACCGGTTTGGCTCAGTGGATAGAGCGTCGGCCTGCGGACTGGAAGGTCCCGGGTTCGATTCCAGTCAAGGGCATGTACCTTGGTTGCACACTCCCGGTGGGGGCTGTACAGGAGGCAGCTGGTCGATGTTTCTCTCTCATCGATGTTTCTAGCTCTCTATCCCTCTCCCTTCCTCTCTGTAAAAAACCAATAAAATATATTTTTTAAAAAACAAAACTGTGAGAAAGCACTGCTCAGGTGGATCAGCCCGCTGGGAATATCAAAACATGACATAAGCCCCCCCACTTGGGTTTCTCTCTCTCCCTCATGGCATAAGCCCCCCCACTTGGATTTCTCTCTCTCCCTGCCCAGATTGACACAGTCAAAAGCAACAAGTAATCAAGCAATCTTTTCTCCTTTTTCTCTTCCCAGAAAGCTGCCAGAAAAGAAAACCATTTTCTTCCCACACACAAGGATCTCATTCTGGTCCAAATGAAAATACAGCTTGTCTCCACGGAAACATATAGATCACCAAGACTCCAACACTCTCAGCAAGTACACGCTACATCTTATTCTCCTTTCTTCCCCCCAATTGGATTCCCCAAAAACTCTAGCTTAAGAAGGGTGGAAGAGACCCGACTTGCTCTTCTACAAATTAATAATCACAAATTAATTTATAGGGTGTACATATAAGTCATGAGCGTTGCTACGTTTCTGAGCCATACAAATCATATTCAAATGTGCTTCTAAATTCAGAGACTCCTTTCCTAAGCTTATTAGAAAAGGTGACCAGACAGGAGCCCCAGGCTGTCCAGCCAGGACCTGAAAATGCACTGCCTTGGAGCGGTGCCAACACAGTGGACTTGGGACAGGTGGCAACTACAGCCCACCTGGTCCCAGGGACTCAGTCACACCTGGCCACACCAACCTCTTCGGGGAAGGGCTCAGGAGCTCCACTGTGTCAATTTTTTTAAAATATGTTTTTACTGATTTCAGAGAGAGATGAAGAGAAAGGGGGAGAGAGATGAAGGGAAAGGGGGAGAGAGAGAAACATCAACGATGAGAAAGAATCACTGATAGGCTGCCTCCAGCATGCCCCCAACTGGGGGTCAAGCCCTGATATAGAAGCAAATGGTGACTTCCTGGTTCTTGGATCGATGCTCAACCAGTGAGCAACACTGACCAGACTCCCGGATCCATTTTAACCCCTGCAAACAAAGCAAGAAGGAGCTGCACTGTCGGTAGTTAATCAAGTGATTCTGTAGACAATCTTTGAGTCCAGTAACAGACAGAAATGTGTCTTAAAGCCACTGAGAAGCACTGAAAACCACCAGTTTGCAGAGCAAAGACCCCGTGTTAATGGAAAGGAAGAAAATTAACAACAAAATTTAGCTCCAATGGGCCCTGCAAATGTTGTGAACTAAGCACAGAACCGCCACGGAGCGCTGAGGCTGCTCGGTAAAACCCCCACGCCTCCATCCTGAAGAGCCGAGCTCAGGTTATCCAGGGAAGCCAGCACTGAATTACCCCCTTAAAAGTCTCTCCAGGACCGCTGCAGAATGAAACTGTCTCCATAAATCGGCAGTTGACATTTGTACAGCAATCACAAGCAACATTTACAAAGGGCGAGACCCAGAAAAAAAATATATATATATTGTTTTCTGAAAGCACGGAGGCTCCCACAAAGAGTTTTCCACAATTGGAGGAACCAGCAGCCAGGCAGCCACAATGGCAGGCTTCCTCGGGGGCTAATTTGCTGCATGCGAGATTTCACTCACGTGCGGCCTGGCAATTCTGACTGAAGCGCCGTCTGCAGGCTGCCTGCCCTGAGCAGAGGACCTTGCTCAGAGGGGGCCTGCGTTTCTCCTCCTGGGCAGGAAAGCTTCAACGCTAAGTGTGCTTTTACTCCAAGTCCTCAACATTTTACAGTACAAAAAAAAAAAAAAAAAAAAAAAAAGCCTGCCTGCAGGTTATGCATTTTCTTAGAAAGTACAGAGCTTTCTAACAATTAGAGCTTTCTAAAAATGGAATGCATCTCCTCAGGAGATTGAGTTCCCTGTCTCTGGAGAGGGTCCAGCGGATGACCAACTGGCTAGGACGACACAGGAGGGACTGGGGCCCAGGGCGAGGAAGGATTAGATGACTCCTGGGATCCTGTTCTGTGAAAGCACCTAAGAAAATGGGGGTGATTATCCCAGGAAATACAGGGGAAAACCACTCACCTCAAATCATCTAGTACTCATTTCAGGTCGGAATAAATGTAAGAATCCATCTGAATGCCCCAGAAAGTCATCCCCACACACACTCCTTCACTCCCACAAACCAACTATAAATGGCCGGGATTCCACTATCACAAACTCGACAGGATCATCCAAAATCTTTGGAGAAATCTTTGGGCTCAGGTTTCTCCTCTATGGTAACCCTGCAGAAATAACAGACCTGTTCAAAGACAACAAAGAAAAACTACAAGTAAAACTGAGCCTCCCAGCTGAGCCTTCCTGAAAATCCAGACACTGGAAGATGAATTTAATAATGTGTTTATTTCAAAGATTAAAAAAGAAATTAAACCATTTCATTGATCCAAAAGCAGGCAATAGAGAAAACAAAATATAAAATAGGTGTGTTAAATAAAAACAAAGAGTAAGATAATAAAAACATACTGCCATTTACTAAGCATTTTAAACACCACCACAGATGTTTCCAGAATGTGGGAAATTCTACGGGACAAATAACCTGATTTCTTCAACAAACCGAAAGGAAAAAAAATGGGGGGTGGGGTACATATAGATTAAGACAGAGACTGACCAAGTGCAATGTGTGGACCATGTATGAATCCTGATTTGAATTAAGCAACTGCTAAAAAATATACATGAAATAAAAAAAGTTCTAGAGCAATTAAGTGAATAATGGTTTAAAGAAATTATTTTTAAAAGTAATTGTACTTACGTTTAAAATAAAAAGATTTCTTTCCTTTTGGAGATACAGAAAAAGTAATGAAGAAACTACAAGTAAAATGATATGTTATCTGAAATTTGCTTAAAAATAGACCAGTTAGATGACGAGGGAGGGTAAATGGAATTAGAGATGAACAAGATAAATTGGGCCAATGTGTTAACAATCACTGATCCCAAGTGATACACACATGGGATTATTATACTATTCTAATGCTGTATCCATATGAGTTTTACTAGAATGTAAAATACAAAGGAACGAAAGGAGAAAGGGAAGAAACATAGATATCTAGACGGATAAGTATGTGTAGAAAATGTTCTGGCAGGATATATTTCAAAATGTTCCATTGTTACCTCTGGCTAATGTGGGCATCTCTGAATGGGGAGATTACTTGTAATCTTTAGTCTCTTTTTGCTTAGCTATGTTTTCTTTCTTTTTTTTTTTCTACAATGAACAAATCAGAATGTTAATTCCAAAATTGTTTAAAAGGACAGAAAGACTGTCAGAAAAAACAAAGAGTATTCCTTTTAAATCCACATTCTTGACTACTTCTGTGTAAAAATGTTTTGGCAGGGGTTACAGCCCCTTTATAAAATCTGATAAAAGCTACTATCTCTCAGAGAAAATGCACAACCGTACAGAATTTTTCATGCAATGTCAAGAAACTCGAAGGTCCCTAAGGAACCCATAGACTTCCTACACTATTAGTAATTATTATAAGTAATAATATCTAACATTTTTTGCATACTTCCTATGTGCCAAGCATGGTTCCAAGTGTTTTACAAATGTTAACTCACTTAATCCTCCAGCAACCCTATGGGCACTGTCATCATCCCCAATTTACAGATGAGGAGAGGAGCCAGAGAGGTGGAATAATTTGCACAGGGCCTCACAGCTACCGAGTGGCTGAGCCAACAGTCAACTTGGCCGCCTGGCTGTAGAGCTGGGTTCTTCCTACCATATTTTGCGCCACATACAGACTTAAATCAAGTATACCAAACAAAGCTGAATCATATTCTGGAGATCACAGCTTCAGATCCAACTAACACCAAGTGCCTACATACCATTGCCAAGCTCATCCAAACACTAAGCTCACCCAGCCCTCACAACTGCAATGTAAGGGACTTGGAGAAGTCTCCTGACCTCAAGTTCACCATATCACACAGCTGATTTCCTTCACGTTAGAGAGATTGTCTAAGTCACACATGACCTTCTTGCAACCAAAATCTTTTCAAGATAACCAGTACAACAGTTTAATCTGTGGGCCCTAAAATTTGCCCAGGATGCAAAGCAACCCAGTTGTTAAAGAGTGCCCTAGTCACTCTACTTTAGCCAGTTGAGACATCTTATTATAGATGGAGACATGCTTGCAAAAGTTTGCACCTGAGGTTCATATACACAAGTAGAAGTGTCTGCATGTACTAAAGACAAATGTTGATACTATGATACCACATTGCACTCACACGCAACCTGGCCTCTACAAATACAAGCATTATTACATGCGAAACCAACCAATGCTTACAGTTTCACAGTTCAAGCATCGAGTTTCATTGGTGAGCGTTCCCTGAAAAATCTCATGGACCCAAGTGAGTTCTGGTTTATTGTTCTCTGCAGGTTCATTCATGTTGCCATTTTTTAATTTCCCATTTTGTTTCTCCTGTTTCTTCTCTTCCTGCAGGATGTCCGCAATAGTGTTTAGCAAATAATTTAAAAATTCGTGAGCATCCTGCTGCATGTAGTTATCAAAGAGATCTGGAAAAGAGAGGGCCATTATTTCAGTCTCTGGTCCTTAAAAAGCATACAAAAATGCTCAATTTTACAGGCGACACTTCAGTTTTTATATTGAAAGGGGGAACTACTATGCAATGTATTCATCTCTATTTGGCAACTTCATTAGGTAAGTTTGAAAAGAATTTTTGGTCATGTTAATTTTTTCTGCCCACCAAGAACTGAATTTCATATATTTCCTTAAAATCATCATGTAAATAAAAAGCTAGCAAAATTTCTTTACAAAAAAATAGTAGAAATTACTTGATAAGTTCCCTGATAAAATATCAATATTTAGCCGGAACTGGTTTGACTCAGTGGATAGAGCATCAGCCTGCAGACAGAAGGGTCCCAGGTTCGATTCTGGTCAAGGGCATATACCTTGGTTGCAGGCACATCCTCAGTAGGGGGTGTGCAGGAGGCAGCTGATGGATGATTCTCTCTCATTGATGTTTCTAACTCTCTATCCCTCTCTCTTCCTCTCTGTAAAAAAAATCAATAAAATATATTTTAAAAATATATATATCAATATTTAATATGATGTGACCACCAATGATCAATTATTCATTCTGTAATTTATTCAGAGCAACCAGAGTCTCTCCCCAAAGATTACACTGAACCCCTGGACCAGCCTGGAAGCAGCTTCATCGAGCCCATACGGGAGACGAGAGATGCAGGTGAGAATGTGTCTACCTGATATTGTCTGAAACCAAACACAAATGCTTCCAGCAGCCGATTGCTGGTTCCTGCTGTACGGACAAACAATCTAGAGATGAGTGCAGCTGTGAGACTTCATTATTAATCATGTTCACAATGAGACTCAGGCGGGCTCTGCTTCCTTCTCAGGCTACTTTTATTCTGGTGCATATAAACTGCAACACCTTTAAGAGGCAGCAATCAAATTGAACGAGACTTTATAAAACAAACATCTGATTAACTCTGCAAATCTGTTGGAGTAAGGCTGAAATCTAGGATAAACACAAGTTGCCATATCAAATATTTCCAGTCATAAAAATTACCAACGCAAAACTTCTGGAATAACCTAGTGTCTACCACCACTCGCCCGTCTTCCCAAAATGACAGGAAAAGCAGAAAAAAATCAGGCGACAGCAGAACATTTTTATCATATAAAGATACCAATTTAATACCCTTTGTCTCAGGTAAATAAAAATGACAGGTATTATTTTTTAAATAGGAGAGGCCCTGATTAGGTAATATGCATTTACTTTAATCACTTATAATAACTTTATAAGATAGTACTATTTCATTCAATTAATGCATCAACCTATTTCTTCCAATCAGTGTCCTGCTTAGAAGGATGTCTTGAGCAAATTTTCCTCTTACAATGATCAGACCTTACAAATATGAAACAAATAAAAAGACCATTCCAAAGTGAAATGACAAGTCTGAATTTTTAAAGCATATTTTTAATCTAGTTTTGTTTTATGTATACTAGGTAGGAAAGAAGAAATATATCTTCTTTAAAAAACTGTATTTTTAAATACTATTTCCCCCTAGGGAGACTGAAGGATCAGTTCTGAGGATGCACAGAACTGTCCATTCTCCTTCCTTCAGACCCGACACACATTCATGTCCTCACTACTCACCATTCTCTTTTCTCAGCCTCGAAATGAACTTCTTTGGTGGGATCACGCCAACCTTCTTCTTCTGTGTGGCAATGCTGTGGAAAAGGTCTGCCAAGCACGTCAGCAAGTTTTCCTTCTTTTTTTGCTGGGCCTTGTATGCCAGCACATTCTCACGGAACGGCCGGCAGAAGTACAAGGCCTGGAGCACAGAGTTACAGTAGCATGTGTTCCCGAACTGCCAAAGGACAACAGGTCTGGTTCAGATCACGGCCCAGGACACGCCACCTCTGGGAGGGGTGGGGAGAGGGAGAAGGCCACCCTCCAGGAACCAACCGGCCGGCAGTCCCTGCGTCAGAGTGCTGCTCGCCATGTCAGAAAACGAGTCACCACCGGTGGCCAGCTGGCCAGCAGGGAATGAACAGTCTACACAGCCTGCTGCCTCTCTAGCCCATCAGCATCTCTAAAAAGGCAAGAAGCACTCTGCCTGGATTAAAAAAAAAAAACTCTAATGAGACCTTCTGGTGCTTAAAAAAAAACAAAAAAAAAACAGAAAATAATAACACTTGACATAATATAGACCCAGAAAGGCAGCTAGCTAAATAAGAGATACTAAAAAATAAATAAATAAAAAATAAATTTAAAAAAAGGGAAAATAAAATTGATGTTTTTAAATAAATAAATACATACATACATAAATAAGAGATACTACACTGCAGCACATCAAAACTCCTCTGACAGCAAAAATAAAACCCCGAACACAAAGAAACCCGGGCACTAGAAACCCCTTGTCAGATGAAACAGCCTTAACTGAATGGGACTGAATTCAGTCTTTCTCTCTCAAGATTCTAGCAGCCTGCCCACTGGCTTCAGACCACATTTCCTCGCTTCCTCGAGAGCCCAGGAGGCAAGGAGGTGCCTCCTTCCGTCATCCCACAGCCTCCTCCCCCGTAACTCCTGAGTTACCCTCGCTCTCCTTTCTGCCTAGATGGCGATACCACAGCCCTCAGCTCCTGTCTCCTGCATCAGATCGGGGCCCCGCAGGAGGATGTGCCTCTCAAACCCACAGACACTCAGATGATGACTAAAGAGGGAAAAAGTCTTTATCTCGCTGGCTTTACAGACTGAAAAACCAACTCTGTAAGCGCACAGCAAAGACATCACTTCAGACTTTTTCCTACACATATAATGAAAAAGGGAAAAAACTAAGGAAATAAGATTAAAACCACTGAGAGCAAAATGCTGTGTAAGACTGAAATAGAACCCGAGCATCTTCCCAGGACTGGCTGTTGGCTTGTGTGCCGTTTACCCAGCAGCCAGACAGATGCCCCGCCATGCTTACCGTGACATTTCTACACATGCTAAGATAGAATATCTCCTATTTTTACATATTTTAATCCACTTGGACACAATTACGTAATAGGAGGCAAACCTCTCTCTCTCTCTCTCTCTCTCTCTCTCTCTGTCTCTCTGTCTCTCTGTCTCTCTGTCTCTCTGTCTCCCTTTCTCCTTCCCTCTCTCTTTCTCCCTCTCTCCTTCCCTCTCTCTTTTTGTTGTTGTTAATCCTCTCAAGGAAATTTTTTCCATTGAGTTTTAGAGTGGAAAAGAGTGGAGAGGGATATGAGAGGGGGAGAGAGAGAGGATGGAGAATGAAATATCACTGTGAGAAAGACACACCAATTGGTTGCCTCCCATATGCACCCCGACCAGGCCAGGGATGGTATCTGCAAACCCAGGTGCATGCCCTTAACCGGAATCAAACCTGTGACCCCTCTGGTGCACAGGCCGATGCTCTAACCACTGAGCACACCAGCCAGAGTGAGACAAACCCCTTTTTAAAGAAAAGCTGGACTGTCCATGAATTACCTTTCAAAGTGAACATATAGCTATTAATGAATTTAGGTCTCACAGTGCTCCCACAACCTAGGCCTTACTTCTTTCTTCCCCATAGCCTGCACTTGTATTTTCCTTAGCCAGGCAGAATTCCCACAACTCAGATATCTTCAGAGAGCAAACTGCAATAAATTTATTGTGCATGGCTAAACAATAAATTGTATTAAAATGAGAAGTCAGCATTTCGTCAACACAATGCCCTCTATCCCAGTACTTCCTCCTTCCATTCTTTTCTCTTTACACAATGTGTTGTCTTTACCCAAAGACCCTTGTCACACTTGGTCTCGATCCAATGGACAAGTCCTGGAGAAGAAAAGGAGCTGACGTTCACCAGGTGTCCACAATGCACTGCAGCCTCCAGTCAAGCCTTCAATAGGAGCCCTGACGGGCCCTCACTATAAACCGAGGGGTAGAAACCACTGATTTCCACCATACAGATGGGGAAGGAGGCTCAGAGAGGTCACATGACTTGCCCAAGATCAGACAGCTAGCGAAAGGCATAGGCAGAGCTCAGACTTAGGCGTGTATTACATTGAAGCCAATATTCATTCTTTCTATTATAATCATTGGCAGCATTCACTTCCAGAGAGTATGTCCAGCCTCCTCCATGGGAATTACTACCTATCCCACCTGGTACTGACTGTGCTCAGAGCAGTTGTTCCAGAAAACCGGGTGCTTGTAATTAACACCGGATGTCACTTAAAGCCCGACCTCAGAGGGAAGCGCACAAGGAGGGTGGTGGGTGATGCTGCCTTACCACTTGGTCATAATCAGCTCATCCAGGAAGCAGAGCCTGTAAGTCTGGCCACAAACAAGGGACGAAATGAAGACAAGGAATTCTGAGATAAACTGGCCCCCCACTCCCTGCCCGTGCTTCGGGTACCACCACCAAGTTATTCTGTTAAACACTTACTGGTGATGAGTTGGAAACATTTTGTTTTTGAATTTTTAAATTTTATTTAGTTATTTAAAGTATTACAAATAGTAGTACATGTTTCCTTTTTTCTCCCCCATTGACCTTCCCTCACCTCCCTCCCCCCCAGCACACCTCCCTCTACCCCACTTCCCCCCTCCCCCCTATCTTGTGTCCATTGCAGAGAAAAAGGAACCCTCATGCACTGCTGGTGGGAATTCAGACTGGTATAGCCACTGTGGAGAACAGTGTAGCATTTCCTCAAAAACCTAAAAATGGAACTCCCATTTGACCCGGTAATCCCACTCCTAGGAATATATCACAAGAAAACAGAAACATCAGCCAAAACCAGTTTGGCTCAGTGGATAGAGCTTCGGTCTATGGACTGAAAGGTCCCAGGTTCGATTCTGGTCAAGGGCATGTACATTGGTTGCGGGCACATCCACAGTAGGGGGTGTGCAAGAGGCAGCTGATAAATGTTTCTCTCTCATCGATGTTTCTGGCTATCTATCCCTCTCCCTTCCTCTCTGTGAAAAATCAATAAAATATATTCTTAAAAAAAAAAAAAAAGAAAGAAAGAAAGAAAGAAAGAAAACAGAAACACCAATCAGAAAGGATATATGCACCTCTATGTTCATAGCAGCACAATTTACAATAGCTAAGATTTGGAAACAGCCTAAGTGCCCATCAGCAGATGAGTGGATTAAAATACTGTGGTACATCTACACAATGGAATACTATGCTGTGGAAAAAAAAGAAAAAAAAAAAAAAAAAAAAAAAAAAAGATGGCAACACTTTAAAACTCTGATTGTACTGATGTATCTGAAACAAAGACTACCTGAGGAGTCTATACATCCAGAGGACAAAGGGGGAGCACGTGAAAGCAGATTTTGGGACAGGAGTTAAAATCCCCTCTCAAAGGTATGGGTACAATGGAAATCCTTTAAAACAGCAGTCACCAACCGGTGGTCCGAGGACCAATGGTGGTCCGCAAGGTCCAAAAGGTTGGCGCCCCTGCTTTAAAATACAGGTAGAAAAAATGAGAACCTGATGCAATAGTGTGGTAGTTAAACCCTTCTTTCTGAGATAACTCACATTTTCAAAAATTTCTCCCTCCCCACTTCTGGTAACTAAAGAGCATGAACAACTGTCTAAAAATTTTTTATGAAAATGGCAGTGGAGCCCTGGCTGGTTTGCTCAGTATTCAGAGTGTCTTCCCTCAGACCAAAAGGACTTAGGTTCAATTCCTGGTCAAGGGCAAACAACATACCTTGGTTGTACTTCAACATACCTGGCCCCAATTGGGCATAAGCAGGAAGCAACTAATCCATGTGTCAATCCATGTGTATCTCTCACATCAATGCATCTCTCTCCCTCTCTCTCTCTCTCTCCTTTCTCTCTCTCTCTCTCTCTCTCTCTCTCTCTCTCTCTCTCTCTCCCTCTCTCTTTCTCTCTTTCTCTCTTTCTCTCTTTCTCTCCATTCCACTCTCTCTAAAAAATATCCACACTCTGGGGTGAGGATTAAAAAAAAAAAAAAACAAGTATTGCATAATCGCACTCATATGTGGAATCTAAATAACAAAATAAACTGATGAACGAAGTGGATCCAGAGACACAGACACATAGAACAGAGTGCAGACTCTCAGAGGGAATTCAGGGGCAGGTGGGTGAGTGGGAGATAATCAACCAAAGGCCTTGTATGCATATATGTGTAACCCATGGACACAGACAATAGGGTGCTGAAGGCCTGGGGCGAGAGGCTAGGCTGTGGGGGCGGGCTGGAGGGGGTTAATAGGGGGGAAAGGGGAGGTCATATGTAATACTTTCAACAATAAAAAAATTATTTTTTAAAAAGAAAAGAAAATGGCAGTGAAAATTGCTTCAAGTATTCTAAAATATTTGATAAAAATAATACATTTTAATAGTTTCAACAATAAAGATACATTTAAAAATTAAGTAATAATGCATTTTTAAATACTTACATTGACCAATCCGAAGTAGTGCTCATTGATGGGAAACTGCTCTGGGCCGATGTCTTTTTCCAGAGCAGAGGCATTGGTGCCCTACAAGAGAGAAAGAACGAGAGCTCTGTTCCATGTACAAGAACAAGAAGGTAAAATGATACTTGAGAGGCCACTTGAGACAAGCATCTCCCCTGGTTGCCCTGGTGTTCGATGCTCATGCTGAAAGAAAAGGGGTCAGAAGTAAAGCTGCCGTAAATCCTCTCCTCGTTTAACTTAATCGTCCCTCAGATCTGTTCCTCCCGACTTCAATTATCTTCTACTCAGAAAGGAGGTTCGCGACAAGCAAATGAGCAAACTGTCGCTAGGAGCTTCTGAACAGCCCGGCTGGTGTAGCTCAGTGGTTGACGAGCCCATGAACCAGGAGATCACAGTTCGATTCCCAGTCTGGGCACATGCCTGAGTTGTGGGCTCGACCCCAGAGGAGAGCGTGCAGGAGATAGAGATTCTCTCTCTTATCATTGATATTTCTAACTTCCCCTCCCTTCCTCTGAATCAATAAAACATTTTCTAAAGGGCTGCTGAACAGCCGAAACTGGTTTGGCTCAGTGGCAGAGCGTCGGTCTGTGGACTGAAAGGTCCCAGGTTCGATTCCGCCAAGGGCATGTACATTGGTTGCGGGCACATCCCAGGCAGGGGGTGTGCAAGAGGCAGCTGGTCGATGTTTCTCATCGACGTTTCTAGCTCTCTATCTCTCTTTCTTCCTCTCTGTAAAAAAATCAATAAAATATATTTTTTAAAATAAATAAATAAATATAATGGTACATAGACCTGATCCATTGGCAGAAAACCAGCAGGATTTAAAAAAAAAAAAAATAATAAGATAAAAAAATAAAGGGCTGCTGAATAGAATATTCTAGGCTCAGATAGTGTCAGCCGCTTTAATAGTCTTTAGTGGTGTACAGAATCACACCATCACTTTCAAAGTCAATGCCTTCATTCTGCTGGATGTACCACATACCCACAGATCGCCACCATTCTAGGCTCTCACAACGGAACAGTGAGCAAAGTGGACATGGGTGCATGCTCTCATGCAGCTCACATTTCAGTGGATGAAGACAAGAGAAGCAAATACACTGGCCAGAGGTGGTAAGTGCAGTGGAGAAAAACAAGTAGGACACGAGGGTAGGGGGCCAGGGAGGATGGGGTGAAGGAGAGGCATGGTGGAGTGGGCGGTAGAAGGTGGACTGCTGCAGCTTTAAATAGGGGGGTCAGGGAAGGCCTGACTGAGAAGGTGAAATGTCCAAGGGATATTGTGGATAATGGAGGAATACAATTTAAAAACCAACAATTCCCAAATGCATCCAATTGGTAAGCCACATGAACCCAACCAACTCTCCAACACAATGACAGTAATAGTTCCTGGGAACTCCCACCATGTGCCAGGGATTGCGCTACTTATTCTCACAACAATCCTATACGTACTACCATAATCTGCATTTAACAGACGGAAACACATAGCTCAGAAGGGTTAAAAACCTATCGGAGGACCACAGTGGCAGGGCTGGGACTTGAACTGGAAGTCAGATTTAGGAGCCCGAGATCTTAACCAAATGCTATGCAGAGCAATCCTATTACTAAACACCACCATTTACTGAGCCCCACTAAGCGCCAGGGGCACCAGCATCACCACTTAGTTATCATTCCTCCCGGGCCTGGGTGAGTGCTGGGATTCCGGAAGGTGAGCAAAGCTCAGTGCCAGGAGGTGAGGAGTTTGAGGGTGGTGGGCAGGTCAGCTCCCTGAGCACGGCGGCTCCATCCTACAACCTTCTCATGTTCTCAGGCTGTCATGAGACCCCGGGTTCACAGAATCTCAGACTGAGGTAGGTATTTTAAAAAGGAAAAGAAAAAGAGACTTATGTTTTATTTAAAAAGTAAATCTGCTGCTGCTACTTATTCTGGACTAATATAATTATCACTTCCTGTCATAGGAAGAAGTGGTCAAAAAGTGGGCTGAAAACCAGTCAAAATGGTCACATGTCAATAAACACCATTAGCCCTAACCGCATTGGCCTGTGGACTGAAGGGTCCCGGGTTCGATTCAATCAAGGACATGTACCTTGGTTGCGGGCACATCCCCAGTTGTGTGGTGTGCAGGAGGCAGCTGATTGATGTTTCTCTCTCATGGGTGTTTCTAACTCTATCCCTCTCCCTTGTTCTCTGTAAAAAAATCAATAAAATATATTTAAAAATAAATGAACAGCATTAAATGCAAAATAACCCAATTCTAGCAAAGAGAAGAGCAGCAGAAATAGCACATCCAACCCCTTGTCATAACATTCTGTTTTCCCCTGTTTTCTAGGTCCACATGCTGCTCCACGATCCACATTCCCGTCCCTTCAACGGAGATGGAATTCTCTGGTCATCTGTGTGCACAGCAGTTTCACTATTGGTGTGTGTGCATGCGCATGAGCACATGTAGGGGTTTTGCTGCCTTTCCAATAATGCAACCCCAAACACAAGGCTAGATTTTTAAAATAATATTTATAAAATAACTAGAGGACCTCTTACATCTGGGAACCCTCAGGGGATGTCGGAGAGCTGGTTTCGGCCCGATCCCCACAGGCCAGGCAGGCCAGGCAGGCCAGGCGTAGGGACCCCACTGGTTCAGGAATGCACCAGGCCCCTAGGATGCATATAAGATCTTTGGTTAATCTCTCCAGCCCTCCTCCCTCCCCTCTTCCCTCAGAGATTCACCAGTTCCCATGCCTGTGGTTTCTGCTCCTGCATTGAGTGTCTGCCCACTACTGGTGGTCAGTGCATGTCATAGCTACTGGCCATAGAGGTCCGGTGCATGAAATTCATGCACGGGGAAGGGAGGAGTCCCTCAGCCCAGCCTGCACCCTCTCCAATCTGGGACATCCTTCTCAAAATTCGGGACCCACTGGCTCCTAACCACTGGCCTGCCTGCATGATTGCCCCCTAACCGTTCCCCTGCTAGCCTGATCACCCCCAACTGCCCTCCCTTGCCAGCCTCATCTCCCCTAACTGCTTGCTCCCCTGCCAACCTGATCGCTCCTAACTTCTTGCTCCCTTGCCAGCCTGATTACCCCTAACAGCCTCTGCCTCCGCCCCCACCACTGTGGCTTTGTGGCTGGGAACTTCCAGAAGGTTCGACGTCCGGAAGATGTCCAGGTCTAATTAGCGTATTACCCTTTTATTGGTATAGATACTTATATTACAGCAAGATTTTATAGAATAGACAAAAATCACTAAAATTTTTAATAAAGCTACATCTCAATCATAAATCAATGTAAATAATGTATTTTAAATACACCCACAGCTGCTTTGAAGCAATATGGGTAGACGTGGCTTAGAGCCCAGAAGGAATGTCAGATATACAAGTATAGCACATGGAGACAGATCTCATTAAATCTTTCTTTAGGAGCTAGCCATATATTATTCGAGTTAACCCTTGATTTTTGCTCTTGGGGATTACTGGATTGAGTCTGCTTTTTGCTTCCTATCTTAACACATTGCACACCACTAGTTTTATTGCAAGCTTTACCCAGTGGCCAGATAAGTTTCTACTGAATGAGTACAAAAAACGTTTTACAAAGTATCATACTTCAAAAAGATATTAGCTTGTAAGAACATATGATAAATAACTTCAAAATGCAATGGCTATTGAATTTTAAGGCGTGCCTTTAACATTTGTGTAAAACACTGTGTAATATGAAAACACAAAAATGCTCCTGATCCACCCGCAGTGTTAATACTCTCCCGTCGGAGGGGGACGAGGAGGAGGGTGATGGCGCACACTAAGGACAATGACCAGGGCGGTGTTTAAGAGAAACATCAGGTCAAAACATCTGCCCTCCTGCTGCCTGTGCTTACCAGCACTGTGCAAGCTCCTCCCTTTCTCCTCTTCTTGGTTCACCCCCATTCACAGAAGGCTTACCTTTGCACCCCATTTCCCGCCAGCATCCTGGGAGGTCCCAATACCCATGTGGAGGAGTCTCCCCACACCCTACTCTCTCACCAACTGGATGTCCTCTTTCCTGCTCTCGCCATTCCACTCTCCCTCAGCTCCCACTCCCACAGACTGCCTGGATCCGGGGACCCCTAAAACCCACCAGCTCAGCTCCGCCGGCTGACTTCCTAAAGCCCTCCCCTCCCAACTACTAGTACACACGTCGCACCAGAACCACTTACTCCTCTACTTTCTCACTCAGCTGAGGGTCCATGATCATGATTTCAACTGTCTTATAAACAGCTTTACCCTGTGCTGTGGCCACACCACCTGGCAAGAAAAAAACCACAGTAAAAACCAAATTATCCACCTTGTCTAATATACATCCAGACGATGTATAATACAAAGTCACACCCCCAGCTCACTGGATTCACCAGGACTCACCAAATTCAAGTGGCCCTGTACACATCCCACCTCCCAGCAACGGTCTCCAGTGCACAGTCTCCACTCCACAATGACAGTTTCCAACTTCCTTCAAGCCCCTGAGACCGTCAACATCCCCTCTGCCCTTCTCACTGGCAACAGAAATTTTTATAAACCAGCGGAGAACTCCCTTAATTCCGCACTCCCAAACCTTCAAACCTGTGTGCCTTCCCTGTTAATGACAGAGATCTCCCTTCTGTCGGAGACCAATCTCTCCTCTACTATTTAATCCTTCCTATAAGAACTGAACATGCTTAAGTCTCTCCCCTATTAAAAATCCATACCTTCTTTTCCACACATCTCCCCCAGGTCCCACCCTTTCTCTCACCTCTCCTTCATAGCTATCTGGTTCTCAAACACTGACAACTGAATCAGATAGTTTCTAAGGTTTGCTTCAAATGATCCAATGGCGAAGTGGGAGGTCAGGGATGGAGGTAAAACTGTGTCGTTGAAGCTGAGTGATAAGCAGCTGGGACTCAATATACTGTTCTGTTTATACTTTTACATAGATGTATACAGGCAGAATAATGGTCTCCCAAAGAGGTCCATGTCCTAATCCCCAGAACTTGTGCAGATATGACCCTGGCAAAGGGAAATTTAGATTATTGATGGGCTCCATTTGCTAGTCAACTGATGGGGAGAAGTT